TGACATTAGTTACCAAGTTAGCAACACAGCTGGGTTTTACATGTTTTTTCTCACTTTTCTTATCATTAAAGTAGGTAATAATTTGATATTGGATTGAATAACTAAATAAAAAGCATACATGCGCACACACACACACACACAAGCACACAGACGACTTAGATGACCTTTGACCTAAATGAATACATATATATAATTTCCAAAAATTCATTTGTTGTATGATAACCAGAGGCAAAAATTTTAAATAATTACCTACACATAGGATTAATTCATCATCAGGGCTGTGTAAAATGGCAGACCACCTTGTAAGCATCAACAAGTGAAAACACGTAATATTCACGTGTTGCTTTGCAAGAGTTTGATAGGATTAGATAACCATAAAAATAGACTAGTGGTCACGCTGTATCATGAGTGAAGTTGATAATTCATAGACTGGCCCAGTGAAATGGTGGGTTCGGGTAAATTAATGATTTATGAGCTAGCTCACCTTGTAACCGGAAGCTTCTAGATTCCAACCCCACTGGGATGGGTACGTACTGATGACGAGTCCCAAACTAGGACTAGAGAGACAGTACTGTCCATTCTTACTCCATTCTTCAAACGATACTAGCTCATGATAAAAAAAAACACATAAACTTGAACAGTTAGGAAGGGATTGAAAACTCTTATAAACTACAGTTAGGGGTAGAATTTGATTTATCAAAATAAAAGCTTAACCATACTGTAGTTACACTCTACCACAGTGCCCAAGTTTTATACTGATATCAATTCCTGACTTGATGTTAATCCGAGGAACACAAAATTCATCGATGAAACTCTCTGTTTCCGTGCAAGTGATGGCATTGCAATGGCTGAGAGTTTTTGTCTAGACTATCATTCTAGATCTAGGTCTAATCTAATTGATCCGGATCTACTAGTTTTATCTGTATATAATTGATCTCATAGTCATTACTTTATTTCTCCCTGTTAATTAATTAATTGTCAATAATAATAATAATTAATTTGTTTATTAGACATATCACAAATACAGTGTGAAACAGTATTACTATTTACTGGATGACAAAGTTTCAAACACAATTTATTTATTGTTCATAATCATCTCAAGTGTGACTACACAATTTCGAAACTCCCGTTTTATAGCTTTCTTTATTCTTGGTCATTCGTCGTAGGGGTAGTAGAATTTTTAAGATGTCCGGGTGGACAGGTGTTGGAGCATTCCTTATTGGATATATTTTCATCTGATTCGATAAATAAAGCTTCAGTTATCAGTCTGTCCCTCCACTCTGTTATATCAGATTTTAAGACTGTCATCTTATTCTATCATCCTATTGTATGGTTGTGTAGTGGCATCCCGGCCGATAACTGCTACCTTGTCGTGCTGGTTGGGCTTGAATACCGTAATGACCCAACATGCTAAAGTGACTGGGACCTGTGCCTGCAGGTCCTACCATGTCAGGAAGGTTGTTTGGATAGCGGTAAAACTAAAAGCAGTTACCATGGGGTACATATGCTCCAGTATCCAATCGGATCAAATGGCGTATGAACCCAAATGGGTCACCGCCAACCATGGGAATGCAGCTCCTGACGCTGCTCCGCTGCCTTGCGGATAAGACTCCAAGTCAAAGGCTCGGGGTGGAGTGGTCCCTTAATAACACCACCTGCTTCGGTCTAGGCGCCCGGGCAGTATCTCAGCCCTCACACAATGAGTTCAATGAAGCAACAAACAATCGAGGAAACTTGTCACATGCTATTACACGTGTTGCGATTTCCTTCTTTGTTCCCTTCCCGCGATGATAGTTAACGAATACCGTTTGAACTTGTTAAGCATGACTGTTTTCCTTCCAGATGAAGTTCTTTATCCGTTCTCTACTTATATATATATATATATATATATATATATATATATATATATATATATATTTCTCTCCTTTCTTTTTTTTTCTTTCGATCTATGTTGTTTTATTATTATTGTGTGGCGCATCTTTCTTGGTGCCATATTGTACCGAGTTTTTATGCGTTTAAATAAATAAATAAATGTGTAATTGCATATAGTGAGTGATATCTACGGCTGAACTATTCTCCAGATTTCTTATTTGATTCGAGTTAACTAATATGGATTTTACTGCTAGGTTTTTATGCTCGGCTAGTCTGACTAACTGAGGCCTGTTCTACTACTTTGACCTATGTATTTGACCTGAAGATCACTGCAGACAGGGTATTAGATAAGCTAAATTGTTTAATTTAATTAGCTCCACTGACAGGATCCTTTAACCGACAAAGCTTGTTTCCAATCGAGTTTGTGGATGGTTTGAATGCCAGTCACTTTTATTCCTGCCTGCCTTGTTAAGAATTCTACGTAAGCTGGTTTGCAAGTTTCCTTCTTTGTATGGACGTACCATTGATGATTTAGATTCCTTATTGTTGGTTTCGTCATTAATAATAATAATAATAATAATAATATTATTATTATTATTATTATTGTTACTATTGCTACTATCATTATTTATTTTATTTTTACATTTCCTTACATCTTGATTAATTTATCAGTGTAATTATTAATTAAGTTTTACAGCTTCTCTTATATACCTCACTTTCTGTCTTAGATTTTCTTTGGTACTACTTCGTTTTTTGTGTCCTAAGTCACTTAGTTGATTTAAATGTCACTTTAATTAATTCCAGCTCTATTAAGAAAGTTCTGTCTGCACCAGTACTATCGAGGCATGGCATTCACGATAGATGACTAATAAGATCCAAGTCTCAATGCAGGACACACTATCACTCACTGCGATACAGACGGGCATTGCTAGCTGATACAGGTGAAGGTTGGAAAAGAGCCAGTGGTGGCCAAACAAAAACATGGCCTCATCAATCCATGAAATCCTTGACAGTTAAACTGAGTCAGGTAGGGAGAGAGATGCAGACTTCCCGGTTGGGGCCCTCGGGACTGACTCTAGGAATCAATGGCTGGAGACGATAGGTGACATGGCTAAAAGTGATCGTTGTCAATGGCCAGCGCAGATGTATTCAGTCTCTGTAATCATTCATATTCCTTTCTACCATTACCCATTCTGTTTCACTCTTCTACTTGTCAGACTGTATTGATTCTCTTCACTCATCTTCTTCTTGTCTACCTCTGTGTGGTATTTGGAACGTGGCAAGTTGAACTGGTGCACTTCGGTGCGAAGTTCCATGTTGAATCCAGACAGACAGACAGATACATACATACATACAGTGTACAGGTGACGAGTCTCAAAATAAGATGAAAACTAAGTCCAGCATTCAACTGGTAGCTACCATCAATAAAATACCGAATACAAAGTCTTTTAATGAGGATAATAATAATAGCGGTCCCTTTATTCCAAACATTAGGTTTGATGCAATGAGAAATTTTAGCACGTCATACAATATTGCATCGAATTTTCTCTATAGACTGCATATTACAGTGGGGGTGGGTGGGTGGAGGTTGGAATTAAGACAGCATTTACACAAGTGCTAATGTTAAATTTCAGTGGGAATATTAATGACACTTTTTGTAAGTAATTATAATAATAATAATAATGATAATAATTTGCTTTATTCCAAAACAGTACTTGTGATACAGAATGGAATTCTCAGCATTTCACTACATACAGTATTGGATCCAGTTTGTAAATTAACAATAAATAAAATTCCACATAGATTATGGGTAGTCTCAGTTAATTTTGACAACAACATATTAGCAAATCGGTATCAAAGGCAAAAGTGAAACAGAAAGTTTGAAGGTGTTCGAAAAGTAGATGCTGGCATATTTACTCGCGTCAGCAATAACAAAAAGGTCGAGAGAGTGTGAAAGAACGAAGTGTTTTAAGTAGAGTTTGTAAGGAAGACAGAAACAAAACAGCACAACAACAAAATTTAAAAAATACAGTAAAAAAAAGGAAAGGAAAGAAAGAAAACATTGTACCTATAAATGATATGAGTTAGGAAAGACGAGATCCAGTTGTTTTACTGACTATTTAATAAGTTATAAGTGAAAGATAGAACAAAAAGGGGGCAATTTACTTAGTGATTCACGGCAAACTAATCAGGTGTGATGCAATACACAGTTTCTTCATCATATAAAATGTATCCCGGCAAAATAAGCTACTGTAGAGTTTTTGTGCTAATTGGTCCGAGCATAATGTCCCACCTACCCAATGAGATGCAAGGAGAGAGAGGAAGAGTTGTGCATAAAGAGTGTGCTCCGAGTCCGACAAGATGATATGCTCTCATTTCTTGCAGGAATTCAAGTGTCCATATACAAAAGTATTAACAACTTGGCTTAGCAACACCCCACTCAAATCTTTCTTAAGTGACCCAGGAAAGATTATGCAAGGGGAACGATAAAGGATAGACAGAATACAAGAAACTGAGACTGACTGGTACCACATTGTCTTAACTGCCTAACATAGAATGTTAGACAAAATATCTTTTTAGAGACTAAGACAATTGGGGAAGAGGGTGGAGGAAGAGCAGGAAAGATCGGATGAAAGACATACTCTAAAGTATTTAGAATTCGACTTCATAAATGCCGTCTATGATACTAAAATCATGAAAACCAACCAGTTTCATGTAAATCACGCTTGTTTTTGAAAGTGAAATTGACAGTCTGTTATTTGAAGGGATTTAATTTCGACATATTAAAATTATTCTGCATAACACGCCATAAATATGACAATATAATAACAACGAAATAGGGAACCAGCTCAAATCACAAAACAAAAAATGTTGTACTTACCTTAAGTGGCATTCAGGCTAGTTGTTTCAACCAATCATCGTTATTATTATCATCAATATTTAAATAGTAACTCCTCCTTTTGCTGCTGGCAATTTCTGAGGCCTTTGATAACAGATAATGTGATACTTTAATTTAGATGAGTACAATTCCGTTGAGTTTTAATTGGAACAATGCATAAGTACATATATGTATATTTATATATTTAATAGTGATAATATTTCCTCTGTCTGTCTCTGCATATAACTTTTCAACACGTGGTTGTGTTGTCAGTCGTTAACTCAGTGAAACTCGTCAAACTGTGAATTTGAAAAATGAACAGAAATTATAAATGCTCTGGTTGTGAGTGAATGTGTATCAATAAATAAAAAAGTGATTTTTTTGTTTAACCGAAGTCTAGAATTATAATTATAAAATGAAATCCGTCTACAGTTTTTTAGCCAATCAAAGCACAGGAGCCAATAGTTTGAAAAAATGAAGGGTGTACGTGTGTATATGTGTGTATGAATGCGGACGGGGGGGTTGTCTGTTCTGATCTGATGGTGGTGGAGGTGTAGGTAAGGGTAAGTAGGTAAGGTAATTCATCTAATGCACAGAACCATAGGCATGTCAATCATAATGACATATCGTTGCATGCGTCACTAACCAACTAACTAACTAACCAACCAACCAACCAATCAGAATTAATATATTTAATAGCCTAAAAACGTTTCGTGATTTTGATTGGTGGATCGGTGGAGAGAAAGTTAAGTGTATTGACCAATCAGGTAGTGATTTGCTTATTATGTGATTACAGTGTAGGGAAAAGGTTATTGTCATCGTGGCAGGTTAATATTAAATCATTGTATAATGACGAATATTCACATCATTGAAAATCCTGATAACATTTTCACAGTTTAGTGGAATCAGACACAAGTATATATCAGGAAGATTGTCAACTAGGAACCAGGGAACTAATCAAAACCTTAAAATTATTTTCCATTCAGTGGAAATTTATATTGAACGAATAAGTGGTGTAGATACGGATTCACCAGTTCCCCTCATTAGTTGCTAATCTATTCATGAATATGCTTGAAGACAACATCTTAAAGATATTATCAGTATTAATTATTTCCTTGGGTTCTGAGTAGAACATAGGGTTTCATCCGTGGCACAGCCCCATTTGATCTTGATCTCCGTAATCCTCTCTTCCTCTAGCCTCATGACTGTCCCCAAGCTTCTATTTCGTCTTCATACGATCTCCTCCATATCACTCTCTCAGACATACCCAACCTTCCGTTTCATTCAGCATATCTGTTGGACACTAAGTCGTTTCCGACTATCTGAACTTCAGCTTTGATGCAGTGAAGGCACTCTCCAATAACCTGTTTGAAATGCTTATATACAAGAACTGACCGACTTAATTCTGTTGCTGAAAATTCGAATTACGTTTTTTTATTTTGATGCAGTTGTGTTCTCTGAGCTGGATAGTTGTATACAAACACTAATCAAGAGGGCCTGCCAGGACTCAATGCAGCACTCCCACCTTAAGGAAAATTGAAGAAAATTATCTCGTAGACGTCTTCCAAAAGAATGGGTGGATATCCACGGAAATTCATCAAAAGACATATACCCCCCTAAGCCAACCTGTCAAATCAAAGGTCCACAAAGAAAGCATAAAGAAAATCGCCCTAACATATATAAAAGACATCTCAGAAATCACTTCAAGACTTTTCAGGCCTTTAGGAATTGATGTGGCACATAAACTAACAAAATCACTTCACTCAGTTGGCTCTATGTTAACCGAAAGACTCAACAACGAAAGAAGATAAAACCAACATCATCTACAAAATAGACTGGAACATTTTCGAAAAACACTACATTGGCAAAAGTGGACGCCGTCCTCTTAGTCTTCTTATCGCCGAACATAAACTAGTCGTCAAAAGACATGACATTCACTTCCTCACTCATATCTCTGCATACAGACAACCACGGGCATCACTTCGACTGGGACAACAAACGATCAAATGTTAGACAGACAAAGGGAAAAACACGAAGAATGATAGAGAAATTTTAGAAGCCAGCCTGTTATTCCAGTGAACTGTCAATCAATAGACTCATTGACAGAGACAAAATTTACCAATCGATAAGCAGGAAATCTCATACACTAAAGGGGTCAAACTTCAGGTCAAGGAAACAATGAGTACCAATACAAGCAGCCTAGAAGGTGTGAAAATACACAAAAACAAACAATCACATTCAAGGTCAGGTCACCATGAGAGGTGACTAATAAAATTGTGGAGAAATCTAAAAAGTATTGGTTGTTGGATTTTGTTTGATTGCATGGAGGATTTAATCATGAGCTGACATCAGTTAGAGAACCACTGGGAAACCTGGGAGTACTGGACAGCTGTTTCTCCAGTCCTAGTTTGGAACTCTTCATCAGTATGCACCCACCGGGATTCGAACCCAGGACCTTCCGGTTACAAGGCGATCTCGTAGACTATTGAGCCACTGGGACCCGATCCAATGGTCCTTGAATTCTGGATCGGGTCCCAGTGGCTCAATAGTCTACGAGATCACCTTGTAAGCAGAAGGTCCTGGGTTCGAACCCCAATGGGTAGGTGCGTACTGGCGAAGAGTCCCAAACTAGGACGAAACAGCTGTCCAGTACTCCCAGGTTTTCCAGTGGTTCTCTAACTGATGTCAGCTCACGATTAAATCCTCCATGAAATCTACAAAGCTCACTTCAACAAATTGAAGTGTATGCGCTGAAGATGATGCCTAGTAGGGCATTAGCGAAAGCTTCTCAAATAAATCATCCAGATAGCTCAGATAACACAACTACATAAAAATCATCCACACATAAATATATTTTATGCTGAATGACAACAGGTAATGCTTTCCAAACTGATTTCACGGCATTGAAGGTGTATCTTGGCTTTGAGATTATGCCCGGTTTCGATATACTCATCGATGCTGTCATTTGCAGTCAAAACAATGCTACCTGGTTAGATAAGTGAAATTTCTCCCGTTGGTAGTGATTGGTGCTGGTTGTTGTTCTTTCTGTTGTTGCATTTTGTCCTATTTAGAACTCGTCACCTGAGTATATCATCATTCTCATTAATTGATAATTCCCCCCCCCCCCAATAAGACTCGAACCCGTCGTAACAAAAATTAATATATTTAAGATATTAATTACTTAACAGTATATGTATGACACTACATACTATTGACCGATTGAGGTGAGCAGTTAGGAATCACTCACACCAGACAGGGGGTGGGGTGAAGATACCCACGGAAAAACAGCCAGCATCACTGAATGTCAACGGCAGGAATTTGAGAGAGGTGACTTCCTTCATGTTTCTGGCTTTGTCAGCGATAGAAGCCTTGAAACACCTTAAGAATAACAAGAACATAGTAATCACAAAGTCAGACAAAGGAAATGTAACAGTAGTATTGAACAAATCAGACTATTGGGACAAGGTAAATACTCACATACAAACAGGGCCATATGAGGAAATTAATAAGTCAATAGACACAGTTATGAATAAAGTTAAGAAATCCACAGTGGACTTTATACGCCGAATGAAGCCGTTTCTAGGTGAGTCTAAGTGGTTTAATTTAATGCCAAAAACTAATAACCCTAATAGGATGTATGGTGTTGTTACAGTTCATAAATCAGGATACCCTATTAGGCCTATAGATGATTTTAGAAATTCGCCTACTTATGAATTATCTAAAAATATTTAGCCATGGTAATAAATCCTCTAAAAAGCCACTCGAAATGTAGACTAACTAATTCCTATGAACTAAAACACAGATTAGATAATTTAAAATTAGATAATGAAGAAAAATGGTTAGTTTTTTGACATTGTCAGTTTATATACACGTATACCAATAAATATGGCTATAGAGGTAGGCAGTCAGAAACGGACTCATTTCTGACCAAGAACTCGAACTTAGGACGACAGTGCCACTTGAGGATATAATGCTAGGAGTGCAGCTATGCCTGACTTCCGCAGTATTTAAATTCCTCCAAAGGAAAATATGCAAACAAACTGAGTGACTTCCTTCGTTTATTTAGCAAGCATTATTTCGACTACAGGTGACAGCATCGATGAGCATATCGAAACCAGCCATAATCGGAAAGACAAGATACACCTTTAACACTGTGAAATCAGTTGGGAACTATTCAGCTCTCAGTCAGCATAAAGAACAGGATTTGGGTTTTCAACACCAATGTTAAATCAGTCACTCAGTTCTTCCATATGAGTCAGGAACTTGTTCTACGCGTGCTGAGAAGCATTTCAAAAAGGCCACTGGAGGCTTTTACCAACAACTGTCTTTTGAAGATTTTGAAGATCAAATGACCGGTCAGAAAGAAGTGTCAATAAAAAACCCTGAGAACAGACCAGCCAAGAACCCAATGCTCAGAAAAATACTGGAGATAGATTGGAGGATACCACTGGGTGACGTCGATCTCAATGCAGGCCATCGATCGAGTGGAACCCCAGTGGAAAGCGAAGAGCTTGGAATTCGTCCGAGAGTGAACATGGAGGAGGTCATGTGGCGAGAAGGAGATCAGAGACTAAGCGCTATCGTGGGTCCAGCTAAAGAAGTCACCAGAAAATAGAAAAAAGTACGGATGTGTTTTTAAGGCCATATTTTCCGCTCGGAACCCAAGGGAACAATAATAATAATAATAATGATAATAATCGGTCGAATTCCACAGATTTTTATTCAATTAGTTGGTATCATTTAGGGTTATTTCAACTTTTAAAATAGTTTACATAACAAACTGAAATGTAATAGGAGGTCAATGAAATGATCACGATCAAGTCATCACTATCATGTGGCGGACACACACACTAGTGACTAATTTCTAATCACAATGGGAATGATGAATGAGTATTATTCGGTTTTTATTGATTTTTCTTATCTAATATTCCAAGCACTTGTGGTTTTCTGAACCAATAGTTAGGCCGAAATGGGAAAATGATATTGATGAAACTATACTACTTAATTAAATGTTCAGTAGTACAAGTCAGTAATTAGAAATGGGGAATAAAACGATAATATTACCATGGTTCGGTGGTTCAGTTGGTATGTAGAAAGCTAGCCAATCACCTACGTGGTCCGGGATTTGATTTCACATGAATGTACTCTTCAACCTCACTTAACTGGAAGTAAGCTCAATAAAGAAGAGAGATTAGTGGCTGAGGATAGGAACCACAGCCAGTAAACGAGAAACCAACTCTACCTTTAATAACAATAATAATGACATTTCCTATAGTTTGGTTTGTAAGAGTTAGTTATG